CATCAATCGTATTTGTTGAATGTAATGCCATTTCTTGAGGCATAAATCCAACAAGTTGACCAAATGCATGAGGATGTTTACCAAGAATTGATATTTTTCCTCGTGTTCCATCATGATTATCAATAGGATGTAAACGTCCAACTAACGTACGTATTAAAGTTGTTTTTCCGCAACCACTCGGACCAAGTAAAGCAAAAATTCCACCGTGATCAATTGAAAGATTGATTGATTTTAAAACATCTTTATTACCTAAGCGAATGGTAATGTTAGTTAATTCAATGGCATGAGGATTTGAAAGCTGTTGATGATCGTTAAGAGTATTTTCCATGCTATATTTTAAATAAAGAATGATCAATTATGAAGGGGTGAAGAAGCAGCAAGGACAATAAATTATTATATAAATAAGTAACAATATAAAAAGTAAATATCTTTTGGTAAGTTGTAATAAACAATTTTCCTCGTCAGTGGGGAGTGCATGACATCTTTCTTGTCTTTCCACATACTGTATGAGGAAACATAAAATGCAAAAGTGAAATGTGCAAGAACACAAGAAATGTCATGCTCTACATACTGACGAGAAAAATTGCTTATTACAACTTACCAAGAGGTAAATGATCAACTCTGATCAAATACATGTTGCGATGACGAAAAAAGTGTGGGTTGTTGGCAACTCTAGCCTGCCAGAGCAACATTCTCCGATAATAAAAAAAACTAATGCATGTCACACTCTACAGGAAGTGTGCTGTGTTCCGTTATTGTTCACCACATGGTTGTAAATAGCAAATTCTTATTATCGAGTACGTGAATGTGGTTATATTTTTGGCGATAGAAAACATGTGAAATTTAAAATTATATGTACATTGCACAAAGATAAAATATTATCACTGATGTTTTTCAAAAAAAAACTGTTTTCGCGGTGTGTTATTTAGTGTATATAACTGTACTTATTACTGAATGTTTTTTAAATGTGAGCTGAGATTAATTGAAACTACTAGTGATATCTATGCCCTAATTAAAGTACAGTCACAGCAGGCATCAATGAGCCATCATTCCACTTTATCCTTGTGAATAATGCAGAGAACATCTTTCTGTTTATTTCTAAGTTGTATGAAAACAATGGTTGTATCTTCTTTTCTTATGTTTGTCGATATAATAACGAGGAAGTGAAAACTGTAGAATAATCTATGTGCTGATAAAAGTAATGGCAGACATAGAAGAACCAACCGAGAATAATTTGATATAATTATTTCATGTTTAAATAAAATACCTATTAGTATTCTTCAAGAGAGCGTTATCTAAATTTTTTCACAACATATGTATATTGAAGATAATTACCATTTTAAAGAATAAGAAGTAGAATAGAGTAATTTCAATTTTTTAAATACTATTCTCAGCTGCTCGCATGTTAAAACCTACTGTCACGTATTGAAGTTACTCTTAGAACGGAGAGTATGGATGAATATCTGGTTTATTGAATATGTGAGTCTTAGAAGGAAATACAGAAGGTGAAGAACACGAACAGAAAGTAGAAGTGGAGAACAACCAACCAACTATATCAGGAACGAACATATATCTATATATGTATGTGAAAGAGACATAATGGAATAATCCACAGAACGAAAGGATTATTCCATAGAATGAAAAGAATAGAACTGGTGAAGGAAAATACCAACAAGAGAAACAGTAACTATGAGTCGCTACATCACACTTACAATCAATCATACAACGAAAAATATATATTCTGTTACATGTAGATTCATATTCGACATATAAATATGGTATGATGGAAAAAGGCCGAAAGGGAAAATATCGAAAGGAAAAATGTCGAAAATAGAGGCGTCACAAAACATGTAAGTCATGCGGTAACATGTGGAAAGTGGCGCCTCTACTTTCGACATTTTTTCTTTCAATATTTTTCCTTTCGGTCTTTTTCCATCCATTCATAAATATAAGAAAATGTGGCTTGCAGATGAATAAATGAAAAACAAAGCTGTCAGAGAATAATCTATAAATACCAAGTTTCAATAGTAAAGAATAAATAAATAAATATATGCTTATTTATTTTATCAAACACGTTAATTAAATCAAAATAACTACTATTTGAACTTAATAAAATCTACTAAACAATTTAAAAAATTAATCGAGTTAAAATGGTTGATAGTTATAACTCCAGTTATTACTCGATCACTTTTAATTCCCACTTTGTTTTATCAATCTGCATGTGTTGAGACTTTGTCGAAAGGTAAGTTCGATATCACGACAATGGATACGTGTCAATCAGATAGACATTTGGATGTTTAAAAAAAAATTCACTGTGGATTTCTACACTTTTGTATTTTTTTGTTAGATGAGAAGAAAGATTTCAAATAGTGAGAAATAAACGAATTTTCCATTTTATTTAACTTTGTTGAAGATATTTCATTCATTTTTGAAGTATGCTATGTCTACCGATAAAGGATAAAAGTATATGGATCTTATTATAGATCCACCTGAGGAAAAAAATTAGCTAGAATTCTTAACATGGATCATTCAGAAAAACAAAGACTATTATAGATAATGATGAAAGTGATTCGACTATATTGAACAAAAGTTATTTGTTTTTCACTGAATAAAAGTATCTAGGATTGCATCACAGAAACTAATAAAACAGTCATAAAATAATTTAATTCATAGTCAAATGAAAAGTGAAATTATTTTTTTCTTAAAATTTCTAATGTATTTATTAAATAATGTTGTTTGTTTGAAATGAGGAATTCTAAAAGTATGATAAAAGTTTCCATAATTAGAACAATCATATAAATACCATCTTCAGATCTTAACAGATACTCTTATAACATCACCAAATCTGTACATGCAAAAACAACTGATTGATGATATAAAAAAGATTTCTTATACGATTGTTATCTAGAATTGGACTGATATATCATTACAAAATCTTGTGAATAACTATCAAAATATTCATTCCTGGTTGTTTCATTGTGTTTCATGTCGATTTTATTGCTCAAAAAATTTTAATATATGTTGTTCAAATATTTTTGATATCTATTTATTCAGTGTCATTCTATCAAGGTATTTATTTTCATATTGTGTGTCGTGCACATGAAAATGTAATCAAGACTCAAAGAATATAGAATGTGAACAAAAGAAATACACACCCATTTCTGTAACGCACATGGGCTGGAAAAAATACCAAGTAGTTTGAAATAGAATCCTATCCAACTTTCAAATAAAAAATGAGTTCTTTCTTTTTTCGATTCCATTGATTGATTTACAAGATAGAGTTTTGCTTAGAATTAAACTGTAGACTTCGTTCATATCGAAACATAAATATTACTAGCAGATAAATAGTTGTACATAATTGTTGTTCACATTTCTTCTTATCCACAAATCTAAAATTATACATTCTTACTCGTATGAGTTTTGGTTTCAAGTGAAGAAATGTTTTCATTTTATTTTTTGAACAACATTATGATTCCCATATCCCAAAGGAAACAGGAGTGGGCCAAGTTCGGTGGCACTGTAGTGTCGAGTTGGGTGTGGTATGGGTGTGGATGTGGGTGTGGGTGTGAATGTATGCCAGTGATGGAACAGAGACCAATGCCCATACCCACACCCACACCTACACCCCACATCTCAGACACCACACCTACACCCACACCTCACACCCACCTACCCACACCCCACTCACACCCACATCCTTTTTAACCGAATTCCTATAAGCACCAGCTTTCCATGGCATACAAATATGTTGTGATGATTTTCTACAGCAAGCTTAATCAGACAAGAACGATTCATAGTGGTGTATCGAGATCTTTGTTTCGAAAATGACTATTAACATTGTTTTTCTACAAATAATTGCATTTAACAATAGTATTTTGCCCTTAGGATTAGTACTATATTACAAGATAGTGTTGAACCATTACGATATGAAAGAAGCTAGTTAAATGTCATGTTTGCATGAGAATTACAATTTAGTTCTAGATTGAATATGTACTTCGGATCCACAATAAACTAGTAAATAACATGGATTTCAGTATTTATTTATGAATAAATTTGTTCTTTCGTCATCTTCTATCTTTGTTTGTATATCTTCTGAGGAAGAAAAACATTCAACGATTTGTTCATTTTATTTAATTTGCATCTAGCAATCAATTCATTATACGATGTAACATCTATATTTAGGTGTCGTCTACGTAGCTTGCTACCTGACCAAGTTGAGAGATACTTCATCGAAGTTTGCGCATTTTGATATTTGTTATTGGTTTCAGATTAAGATAGCAGTGTGATACATCTTGACGAAAAATTATCAAAAAATATAGTACTATAGCAAAAAAATTTAACTTTTCCTAGCAGCTTATCCACTTAAAAAACATTTTTGTACCATCTGTGTAATATTTGCGTCTAGAGAAGAGCCCATATGAGGGTACGACTGTCTGGGTTTGGGTGGATGTAGTAGTAGACGTGAGTTTTTTTTATTTTCCTCTCCACCCACATTCACACATACATCCACACCCGATTAGATTCAAGCATGCTTACTATTATAGAATCGAGTTTCGCTAACAAGGAATATAGTCGTGACAAGACTTTCAAAGTAAAATAGATGCTGAAAAGATTATTTAGTGGTGTGGTGATTCAATCCTAAAATCACAATGTTGATCATTTTGCTGTTCTTGCTTCATCGATATCAAAATCGAAAAATATTATCGTAATACAGATAAATGCATTCTATTAGAATCTAATTAAATAAGTAAAATTAAATATAGTTCTGATGTGAAAACATTTCTATTTTGTCCATATCATTAAATTCAGGTTATTCATCATATTTTATTTGTCTAGTCGTTGGTACTTTGCAAAACTTCAAACTTGTTTATTCTCTTATTCTCAAAGTTTTCTTTCAACTTGAACCAAAAAACAAAAGATTTCAGCATAAGAGTTTTCTATTGTTCTGATTAATGACGTAACCAGGGTAGGGCATGGTTGGGCGGCGCCCAACCACCGGTCATTAAAAAAAAGCAATTTTGTTTAGAACGATAAAAGTAAAAAACCACAAGATATTTGTACCCCCTACTTTTTTTCTTCAATTTAGACTAAACTGATTGGACACATTACCAATCGTAACTTGTCTCTCGAAATAGAGAGACGTCTGTAGTGACAGTAATGATTGATAGATTATTATTTCACATATGATTTGTTTCCTTACGCATGGATTTTACAAGTGGCATACAGCAACATCTTCGTGATTCTCATAAGAAAAAGACAGAATTCTTGTTAAATGCAACCCGATGATAAAGAGTCCAAACGTGATACTATTGAGTCGTTTTCTGGCTCATTTTCTTCCAGAAAAACAAATTTCACACTTCTACTTCGATCATTGATGAATTCTCGCGAATAACAGAATCAGATAAAATAGCCTGTTGTTCAATAGACGAAGCTCCTGGATCTCTATCGCCATTTTCATCATCAAGAACAACAGCAGCTACAAAAACCTCTTTCACCCCTTCAGACATTAGCTGTTCCTTCAAAGAACCACTACTCTCACCTCGAGGAGCCTCTCCTAACATTTTCGGCACTTCTGGAAACCGATGCATCAGAAAAATTTGAAATTTTCAGACAGATCGAACTCAATAAGTAGGGCAAAAGTAGTCGTAGTGCCAAAATTCTCGGATTCTTTCTTCTATGACATACTAAGGTCTCAATGGCTAAAAATGGTCCTGCTTATTGGCTCGTTTTCTCAACCGTAATATGTCCGATTGAGCTGAAACCTTTTTTTTACATATGCCACAAACATTTTGGAGTGCCTATTTGTTTTTGGTTTGTCTTCATTTCCTTCTATTCGAATGAAAAAGTCAAAATACGCAGAGTCCACTAAAAATACATGGTTTTTTTAACAGACCTTATTTTATAGGATCTGCTAAAAATCAGTGATACAATATTTTCTAAAATAAAAATGTAGCCACCCCTAAGTGTTTCTAATATCTGTAAAAAACGTTTCAACTTGACTAGATGTACTATGTTTGAGAAACAGGAGCGATTCTTCTAGCTTTTGTGTCAAAACTAGGTTCTGAGAAAGCTCGGCAGAACGAAAACGATTTAGCTGCTTTCACATAAAAAACGTTCTATCTTTTCGACTTTTTTAACTTTAAAGCTATATTTGAATTATCTAAATGTTTTTAATAGATAGAGAACACTTAGAAGCATATATAGCGCAGAAAAAGTCAAAAAATAAAAAACTGAAAATTTGAAATCCGGAAAGGAGAAGACTCCTCTTAATTAATCTTTGAAAAATCGTTAGAGCGGTGCCCAACCACCCTTCATTTTCTGGTTACGCCACTACACTAACGCGTCTTGACTTCTTCTATAGCGAAACATGTATTCACTTTTTCATAATTTAATAAAGTCATCGTTAGTTTTGTGAAAAATACTATTCAAGCAAGAATATTCTTAGATAATACACAATTTCAGATATTGCATTTGAATGATATGTATGATTACAATACTTTAAAAAAAAACGAAAACTTACTGTTAGTCTGTAAATTCCATAAATCTATAAGTAAGTTTTTATTGTCAACAACATAAGTAATAAACAATAATTATTTATCGCTCATAAAATTAGGTGAATGCAAAACAGCAGAGCAAAAATTAAAACCACCTTCTTTTGTTTCAATATATCTGCTACATAAATGACTAGTAAGTTAGATCAATCAATTGTCCGTGTCTTTATTAAATTATGAAAAAGTGAATACATGTTTCGCTATAGAAGAAGTCAAGAGGC